ACAAGCACTGCACACGATCTCAGCGGTGTCCCACATGGCAGCCAGCGTGGCTTTGTGGGGTCTGTATGGGCCTCATGAGGTGCAGCCAGAAAACATTGTGCTGACTTCTTGTGGCTGGCTGAAAAGTTGCTGCACCAGACTAACGCATGTTTGAAAGAAAGCAATTAGGGAAAGCAGCAATTGTAGCACCATCGTATACATATCTATTCATATGTGGTTAATAGCCTAAGTAATTCTGGATGTCTTTGGGAAATTTTGCTTCTTCAGTGTTTCATTAGCTAATAACTCTCTGACAACTGAGTCATCAAATTACAATAAAAGAATAGAAAAATATTTTTAAGAGTGAAAATGTTAGCCAGTGTCTGACAGTTGTGGATGTACTTTCACTGGAAAAATTATTTAGATAAGAACATGGGACACATCCAGCTTGTGTGAAGGAAGAAATATGGGCACGTCTGTCACTACAGAAGTACCTGCAAGCAAGTAGTACAGGAAAAGGAGAGATAAAATGGGGTAGATTTCGAAATCTGAGTATTTCAGTAGCTTTAGCTGCAGATATTCTTTATGTAGCTTATTCTGTTTGTATCTTCTACTCTCTATTTCTGTACTTATTAGCATACAGAAAATGAAAATAACTAGGTAGTTTTGAAAACTTATTAGATTATTAAACTCTAAAGCAGAAAGGCCACTATTGTGGTAAAAGAAGAATTTTGGCATGCTTCAGTTTTCTTGCTGTTAATGCGCATCTTCTTTTTGCTCATACCTATGCTATATGGAAAAACATTGACATTCTTGCTTCCCTGAAGTAGTTCTAGTTACATCCCTAGTTTGCAATCCAGTTTGGTCATTTGCTCACATTATTAAACACTGGTCTTTATAAACTAATAATTGTTGCACTAAATAATTTATTTAGTTGTTGTTTTGCACTGGGTGATTAGAAATTTGCACAGGGTAGTTTTTATATTGCACTGAATAGCTTATATTATATCACATGGTTTGTTACCTCTTTCCCACATCAGACGGCCTTTCCCTCACCCACCCCAGTACCCCTGGTGGTCTCTTCCTGGGTTCCCCTCCCGTTGCCACTCTTCACTGGTATCCCATTGGCTGTGGACCAAAGTTCCCTGCCACCGGAGAACGCTCTTTCTCCCATGTGTCTGTCCATTGTGTGTTTCTCCTGGAATAGAGAATGTTACCACCTGGAGAAGAGCGCTTCTCAATCTTTTACTTTTGTCTATGAATTATCATGCGAGCATGGGTCTGTAGCTAGCTGGAGTGGACCTAAATAACCTGTCAGAAACTCGGTAATACAAACTAAGGCATCAAAAAAATTGTTGTGCTTAGTATATTTGTGCATGCTTCAAAATAGCCTAAAAATTTACCATTGTTCTTAGCTTCTCAATTTGTAATTCTCCAGTATACTGATTTAAAAAAAAAAAAAATCACCATGGGCCAAAGAAGAAACTCAGATTCTGCTCAAGGCCCTGCCTATGAGTCAGCACACGGCTGGGAGCCAGATTTTGGCACAGTTTCTCAAGGGGAGCGGCGCCTCGGTCAGCGCCAGTGGATCTGCCTCCCTGGCAAAGAGCCGCCATGCACAAATGAGCACCAGAAAGGACTCTGGGCCTGTGAGCAGAAGAAAGTTTGGGGGTTGGTTTGTTTGTTTGTTTTCCTTTCCGAAGCATGTTCTGATCTTTTGGTGGCACGTGCTTTACAAATACTGAATCTGATGACATGCTTCCCAAGTAAGCAAGCAAATAAGTTTAGTAATGATAGCCTAGGCCTAGTGTGCCATTAGTCTGGGCACTGTACAGTCATAATGAAGGACAGCATTTGTTGTGCAGAACTGGAAAATTAAGGGAGGGGAGATCAGACAGCTGCAGCAAAAAGTTAATTATCAGGAGGGATGAGATTGCGTTGGTCAGGCTAAAAAGCACTCTCTTGGCACACATTATCTAACCACCATTCTTGTTGGCAATGCAAGGCCAGATAAGGAAAGATATTAAAATTTAGGTTAGTGGACACCCTCAGAGGTCTGATTTTCTTGCATATGTAGTGGCAATAGAGTCAATAATGTTGTGAGTCCATACTGGTGATGGAGAAATGGTTGAAGCCTGCACTGTGCCACAAAATACCACAGCTGATGAAGGCCTAATGCCTCCTGTACCAACAAAAATGTTTTTGTACTGAAAGTGACTCTTGCATTGGCGGTATGACTGCCTTGTAAGAAGCGGGTCATGCTTGCCCTAATCTCTTTCTTTGATGAGCTGCCTAATGAAGTAGAACAACAGCAGAGTCAGCATAAATCTTCATCTAGATCTTCACTCATTGTTGCACTAATTATTAATGATTTATTATGACCAGGTTTTGGATATCTGAGCAATTACAGTGCCATTCATGTGGTTTTATACAGCAGCTAGGCCACAGGAGGAATGGCCTGAGCAACACCGACAGAAGTTAATAACTTCTACATTTCCTGACCATCTCCAGGTGCAGGGCTTCAGTGAAATTAAAGAAAATTGCTGAGTGCCTAGAGGTCTGCAGAGTGATCAAGAAATTGTCCACTTCTCTTCATGGGACAGTGTTGTTGAAATGTATTTAGGTATTACTTTAGAGCCACTTTGAAAAAAATGTATTTACACTGTCTTATAAGTGGAATCTAAGAATTCTTGTTTGTTTGTTTGTTTGTTTGTTTTTAAATGAAAAAGGCCACTGAATAATTTATATACATTCACTATGACAATTTCAGAGGACTAATATTGTCTAGGTTCCAAGTAGATAAGGATTATTAAAGCTTCATGTTAAGGGAACTAAAGAAACTGTTCTCCTGGAAAGAAATTAAATAACAGTTGTGAATATCTTTTTTTATTTATCTTGTTGTTGTGCCTGCAGGCCTTTCTAATCTCTTACTGTAGTGACATGCTATAAAGAGGCATTATAGCTCAGAGCCTTGGTAAGGACAGGATAAACATCCCTAATGGACCAGGGAAGAGAGTAAGAGGAAAGGTCTCGTATTACAGCCTGCACTGGAGCCTATTTATCCAATAGTTTAATCCTCCTATCAGAAAGGTGTTTTTGAAGAACTGTATCTCTTTATTTCCCCCTTCTTTCAAAGGCTGATTCTTTTACAAGAAGAGGTGGGGGACCCACGTGCAAGGAAGGGGGTGTCTGCTCCTTCCTGTGGAGCACAGGGCAGCGGCCCTGGGGCCAGGAGGAGGGAGGGCAGCAGGGAGGGGGGAAAACATGGTGAGCCTCTGAAACCCCAGTCCTTTGATGTGGTGGCCGAAGCCATCCTGGAGACAGCATCTGTGCAGAGGTTGCCACAGCTTGGGAAACCTGGGAGCTCACTGAAACGAAACAGAACAGTAGGGACACAGCCTGCAAGGATAGAGTGAACAAGGGGAGAGGCTTTGTACAGCCTTTACCTTTCTCTCTGATGTACCTAGTCATGGAAGCTTGCTCAGTATTGTTTGACTTTCTCAATTTGAAGCACCTTTTGCTCTTTCTTGGAAAAGTCACTTTATGGAGGAGGTTCGAGCAAATCCACCTCAGAGCCCTAGCGTCTTGGCAGGGTGGAGTTGACAACAGTTGGCTGACTCGGGCTCCCACAGTGACAAGTAGGAAACCAGAAAAGAGACTAATACCTGTGGTAGAGCATCATATAGTCTTCCTTAAAACATAGCCAATGCTGAAACAAACCAAAAGCCTGGCATGCAATATATACTTTTTAAAAGGCTAAAACAGTTGGACAAGGTCATAATTTTCTTTCTTTTTCCTCTTTGCAGAGTTTCTAAAGAATTTGGATTATTTGTGTGGGGACAGCTACTGCTGTTGGCAGGGGGCACTGCTTCTTTTCACTTCATAACTCTGGTCGTGGCTTCATGCAAGGAAAGGAAATCAATGAGGCAGTGCTGTGAGAGCCTGGGGTTGAAAGCTGAACAACTGCAGTAGGAGAATTTTAAGACCTGACGGGTTTGAAGCTGCTGGGGGATTTAAGTAATATTTTTTTATTTTGACTAATTAATTTTCTAGCATTCTAGTGCAGGTCAATGGCTGAGCAATGCTTCGGACAAAAGCACGGATGCCTGTTTGATATGTATTTTCTTGTCAATAAAGACATACTGGAATCAAATATATCTTAAGTCTGACACCCTGCCACTTGAGCCATCTTGCTGGTGCAGTTGGATTTCCAGCCCCCTGCCACCCTGCCCTTTGACTGACATCAGCAGCATAGGCAGGATGCCACCCACAATATTTGTGTGAGCTATGGTCCTCTCAAATCACACTGCCATTGCAAAGCCAAGGGCCAGCACAACTCTTACCCATGTTTAAATGGCATTTTCATGGCTGGTTGTTGCTGGACCTGGATACCAAATGTCCCTAGATGCCCATAGGAGCCACAGCATTTCTTATGATGCTCTATTTGCTTTTAGTGATCAGTGGAGTTGCTGTGTTCAGGGTGTCCTGCTGCTCATCTCTCCTACTGGCAATAAAGCTTTGCTTTATAAACTATTCCAACCACATATATTTAGCAGACAATCTGGGGAAAAAAAGACAAAGGACAGCATATTTGCATGAGGAGCAGAGGGAAACCTTGCAGTGTCTGATGTGCCTTCTCCTCTCCCCATTTGATTTCCAGCTGCCATATCCTGATCATCTCAGTGGTGCAGCACTGTAGCTCCTCTTCTTAAATGGTAGCAGTAGTAAGAACAGTAGGGCTGGTGCATATTTGCTTCATTTAATGCCCTCCTTCACCTCCTGACAGCCACTTTTCCCACATTTGCTCTGTGAAGAATCAATAGTTTAAAAATAGAAATGAAGGGAAGAAGGAGAAAGAAAGAACCTGAGACCAGCTTCACCCAGGATTTTGTAAAGTTTGTTTTCTTTTTAAAACTTTTACTCTACTAGTGATGTTATCACAGGAGTCCTTGTTGATGTCTATGTGTTTTTATATCATTGTAACTGACTTAACTCTGTTTTTATCTCCTCTTCTCTCCCAGTGGAGTTTTTATACTGTGATTTGGCTTCCATGAAGTCTATACGGCAATTTGTGCAGCAGTTTAGAGCAAGGAATTGTCCACTCCATGTCCTGGTGAATAATGGTGAGTTCTGATTTTTTCTTCACATATCTGCAGGGGAAGATGAGACAAATGGAGGTCTCGTCTAGCACTTCAGATTTCAAATATATTATCTGAACCATACAGCAGCTTACCATAAAGCTGCATTAACTGTTATGTCTTTCCAGACTTAAATTGCATTTTTTTGAGAGATTATTCGGTGAGGAGTCTGAACACTTCAATGCCACACCAGCTTATGTTGTTATTGCAAGTCTGGTTCCTTTGCTGTGATTTTTTTCGCTCTCCAGCACGAAAAAGAATGCAATTATACAGGAATATGAGCACCACTAAGAAAAATAAGAAATGAAAGAGAAGTTGTACTTTATAAGAAGTATAATAAGGAAAAATAAGAAAGGAAAGAGAAGCCAGTAGAAAATCTGTCCTTTCACTTTTATTTGCTTTCTCTCCCCTTATGTTTTTTCCTGTATAAACACTTTTTTACTGTGGGTGACTGATGAGCTAGGCTGGGGGTTTAATCCACTTGAAATGTAATCTGGCAAATTATCCAGCAACCTCAGAGAAGTCACTGCATCAGATCCAGGTGCTACTGGAAAGCTGTTCATAAAACTGCATCCTCAGTGGTCAGAGCACAAATTAAAAGGGCCATACTTGTCTTGCAATCATACAATTATCAAATGAATCTAATTATTTTTAGGGATTTTAGCTTTTGTTATTCACATACTTGCTATCTAATTTTGTATTATGGTCTCAGTATTTTTGGAAGCCAGCCTGTACAATAATTTTCTTCCAGAAACCATGCATGCTCTGCATGCACTGTCCTAAAGGGGAATTTTCACCTGTGTATTTAAATAGGGGAAAAACCCGCCAGCAACAATTTAGGTTTCTTTTAGAAGTTTGCTGCTGTTATATGCTGCTGTTCTTGTTTTCTCAACTATTTACATATTTTTCTATTAAGACATCCCAGAGAACATTTTCTGTTTTCCTGTGCACACTTCCATCCTAGTGAGAGCAAGCATGCTGTAAATAAATGGGTTTGTTATATTCATTGGTGCCTTAAAGAGCTCTCAGTAACAGAAGCAAATACTGCAATAAAAATTCAAGTGTTTTTATTTGCTGATTGATATGAAACATTTGTGAAATGTTCAGTTAAACATTCATTTTTCTTTGATTAGTCAAAAAAGCCTACCATTATTATTTTAATCATGCAATAATTAGAGGTGGATATAAAAGCTAGTTATAGTTATAGTTAATTAGTGAGTATTTAAGCCTAGTTGCAAAGTCTTTCCAGATTTACTTGTAAACATGCAGAATAAAGACTGTTATACAGATGGAAACAACATTATTTGAAAAAACAGCATTTTATGGGAAAAGGGGTTCTTAATTCTACGTACCCATCAGACATCCCCTGCCCTGCACTAGTTTTCAGCATGAGCAAAGCCAGCATTGTCAGCAGGGGCTTGGAGGTCAGTTGGGGGAAAAATGAGGAGGCTGAAGCAACTGGGAAGCCCTCTGGAATATGGGATTTTTTTCTGCCCTAGCTGCTGCTGAATTGGGTTGGATGAAAATTAAATGTGTCTTCTCATCCAAGAGACAAAGTTGTGAGAAAATGGATCTCCTAATGTTTTTAATATGTTACAAGATCAAAGAGCGTAAGCCCAACACGTCTTTTAACAAAGGAGATTGAGAGTAAAATTTGCCTGCTTCAGTCTATGTATTTGTAACTTGAAAGAAAGCCATTTGATTTCACTTATGCTTTTTTACCAAATACAGTTGGCAAGAGAAATCTGTTGTTTGATAAAATCCTTTTAGAATCTACAATGAAATGAATGGTCCAAGTCATTTTTTTTTGCCTTAACAGAATCATGTCCAAAGTACAGGTAAAGAATTCCAGAGAATTAGGTTAGTCTCTGGCCATTGCCTGGCAATGACTCCACTTCTGAATGCTCTTTCCCACATCTGTTTTCTTTTTTCTTATGGTCCTTTTAATTTTCTTTTGTAAATAATCTGTAGAATTTAGTTTTGTTACTAGTGAAAGCACATTTTCACTAGTAACTTTTGTTTCATAGTGAAAGCCCAAATGTTTCCTTGCTACATAAGAGAAAAATGGACATACCTAATAGAGGAGATGTGGCCTGATGCAAAAACCACCAGTACTGAGCACAATCAAGACAAGTGCTGACGTTTGGGCTATCTGGTTGGCTTTTCTCTTTCCCTTTCCCTTTCCCTTCCTCTTTTGTCCTTTTTTATATTTTTACTTTTTTTTTGGTTCCAATGCACTAAGGAGGATGATTCAGTCCACCATGGACCGCAGAGCTGGAAGCACTACTCTCTCCAAAGCCTCATCACAGTTGCCTGTTCCACTGCCTTTCCCATAGGTTTTGAAAATCAGATTTTGTATGCATCCCATGATACCTGAATCAAACTATCAGCAAGCTAGTAATTTTTTTTTATTTCTGTCTTCATAGAACCAAGCATTTCATTATCAGGGCTGTACTCTTCTGTTACATTTAGTGTAAAAATGAAAGAACTGTTACATTGAAATCGTTGCACTACATACTAGCATAATTTAAAATCTTTTAAATTGATTGATGTAATCATGTGCATATGTTAGTGAACTTTCCACCTATTATCTCAAGGATATGTATCCTGTATGAATGTGAAAGTGTATGATATTCATTGAGGATATGTGCAAACCTGTCAAAAAGCCAAATACTTGAAGATGACTTGATAAAAGTTCAAACATATTACAAGAATGCAAGCTATGAAATTTACATTAAAATATTATTGAAGACAAGGGATTTCATGTGAATTACTGTCCTAAATAAATAATCAATACTACATGTCTGACCTAAGATTGTTATGAAATTCAGCAGTTTTTAAGGTCACTGGTGATTTTTTTAAAAAAATGTCTCTTCATCACTTGCTCTCTATCCCTTATCTAACTCAAGGATTCAGTTGGAAATTAAATTAATATTAAAATCCTGAGTTTTTAAGTATTCTCCTAGAGCTAAACATCCAGGTCCCACAACAATCATGTGAAGTTTAGGTATCCAACTAAATGGAGATTGGTGGACTAGTCACCTCCTCTTTTTGTTATAGCTTATTTTAGCATGTACATTTAACTTTCTAATTTCTAATTTAAAAGGAAAAATTTGGTTGAACGCACGCATTATTTCAGCTGACAAATAAGGGCTTGTTTTTCCATTATTATGCTTTCTGCATCAGTAATGTGCAGGCTCAGCTCTTGGTTTTTAAAATAATAAACAAAACATATTAAAAATGCAAATAGTGTATTATATAAACTTTTTTTTTAAAATATAATGTGCTAATGCTAAAAAGAGAAAAATGCTATGACATAGAAAACAAATTCAGTTTCTGTAGGAAACAAGAAGTAAGCTAAATGGTTGAACTGTAAGCCACAGAAAGAGGGCTGCAGCACAAGCAGTGAAGAAAGCTTTATCTGACAGAAGGTCAGAAGAATGTGTCTTCTAGTCTGCTAATTAGCGTTTGTGTGCTAATTTTTAGTTTTGTTTTGGAAAGAACTGTGTCTCTGTACAGCTGAAAAGCATTTAGCAAATTACAGCATGAACACTAGTGTTAATTATTTAATATATTCCTAAAAATGGCATTGCTGTTAAAATGCATTAGAAAGACTGCTGTCTTCTTGTGGTTGAAAAAGGGACAGATACTAAAGCACTTTGTAAAATTCCATGACCAGCAGTCACTGTTTCATGCCAGCGATGTTTTTTCCTAGCCTTGAAGGCAGTAATTTTCTCTGTGTGCTAGAACTGTTTCTTAGCACATTGTAGTTAATGTGTTTGCTTGTATGTTGTTTACAGCACCTAATGATCTTAAAACCAACAGAGCCAATGCAAAAATCACAAGATATTTAGGGACACCAGGATACTTCTGGATGAACTGTCTAGCTCATTAACAATGAAATGCCAATTTAAGAGATTTCAGGCTATTATTAGTGTATTGTAGGCAGATTACAGTTAATGTATTTCAGGTTGAAGCCTATCTAGGCCAATTTAAAATCAATATTCCTGAACTGCTAGCTAATTCAGATGATCATATTTGGTACTTCGTGGATTATCTGAGAAATTATCAGTCTCTTGCAAGAATATAAGTGTGTATAAGCTTACCTCTTTAGTTCCTAGAGCACATTAAAAGCTGTATCAGTAGCTGAGTATGTAAAATATATATATCTCCTTGTGTTACCTACATACAGTCCAGCCATGTGCAGGTCAGCCATAATCCTTTGCTAGGAGTCCTTTGAATAGTCCCATAGATGCTGTCATTGTTGATCATATATTAAATTATTCTTGCATTTGAGTATTTGCAGGATCAGATCTTCAGAAGAAAAGTGAAATTGGAGAGCAGGGAACAAGGGCATGTACCAAATGCAAACAATTCTCTACATACTTACCTACTCACAGGTCATATTTATAAGTTGAATTTACTAATAGTTAAATTGTTTGAAATTATCACAGTGAGATCTATGAAAATATCCTGCCCCACTGGATTAGGTAACAGCCAGCTCCCTTGCCTGTAGCAGCTGCAGGCTACATTGACTGTTCTGATGAAAAGGAAAGAAACCTCAGAGATGTGGAAATTCACTGGAGAAGGCCTTGAGGGAAAGTTAGTGAGGAGGGTTGCTGTCACTCCAGTGAAACTTGGATTTCATTGAAATTAATGCTTCTCTTCCAGCCACACAGGAAAGCTGTGGTGAACTCAGGATATGATATCTCATTAAAGTTCTTCCAGTGTCTTGCTTACAACATCATGTTCCATCTTTATCCTTCCTCAAAGACAAATTAGAGTAATACCCAAAGCTGTGATGGAAAAGGTACAGAGGGATAGGAGCCAAGAGAGAAGGGAATGAGCAGAAGAGCAAATAGACTTTACCTGTATGTAATGGATGATAAGTACATCATGGGAGAGCTGGGACTTTGGGAATGGTTTTACCTGGAAAAGCTAATTTGAGGTGGTGGAGAGATTGGCTTACAATGGATTTTCCATGT